GTCCTCAGAGTGTGTTTGTAGTGCGTTGTTTTCAGAATAAGAGTCCTCAGAGTGTGTTTGTAGTGCGTTGTTTTCAGAATAAGAGTCCTCAGAGTGTTTGTGTTGTTGGTTCGGCTCTTCACAATGTGTGTGTTGAGTATTAGTTTCAGAATAAGAGTCTTCAGTGTGTGTGTTTGTACATGAGTTAACTTTCTCATCTGTGTGCGTTTGTTCACATCCTCCCTCTTCCTCTTCTTTCTCTTCTCCTCCTTCTCTCTCCTGTTCTTTCGTTACTTGCTTTTCCTCCCTTCTTTCCTGACTCTGCTGCACAATTATAACCCGAACCTCCTCTTCTACCTCCACCTCCTCTAACTCATCATCTCCCTCCTCATCCAACTCTCCCTCTGTGTGTTCACTCTCATCCTCCTCTTCCTCCTCAGCAGTTTGTGTGTACAGCAGTTCATCCTTTCTACACTCTGTGTCCTCCACCTGTTCTTCCTTTTCTTCACCTTCATCAGCTAACACTAACATTTCATCCTTCCCTTCCTGCCTCTCCATCAGCTCTCCCTCCTCCCTCTCTTCCCCTGTCTCCCCCTGTTTCCCTCGCTCTTCTTCCTCCTCCTCCTCCTCTCTGTGTTCTGTGCAGTTTGCAGGTTCAGTGTTTATCTTCAGACTCCTGCCTGAATCAGTACCTTCTATTTGCTCCTGAGACATCCAGCTCTCCGTCTGACGGTGGGAGGTTCCCACGACTTCAGGAGGAACAGAAGAGGAGGAGACGGGGGCGAGGATGACGTGTCCACAGGAGTCCTGGTTGAGGTTCTCGTCGATGAGCATGGAGCAAAGCCCGGCGTGGGAACTGACCTCCGCACAGGGCCAGGAGGAGTGTGTGTTGGTGGTTTTGTGAGTATGTGTCATAACAGGAGCGCTGGGAGTACTGGTTCTGGCTCGGTGCTGCAGGCTGATGGACTGGGTCAAGGAGCCTTTCTGTGGGGAAAAGCGAGGCAGCGGGAGCTCCGTCAGCTCCACGTACTCGCCCTCCGACTCCTCACCCTCGCTGCTCGCTGGTGATTGGTCAGTTTTTGCAGATGATGGGAGGAGCTTTACACCCCGTCCTGAGGCGTTAGAATTGTGCGATGTGTTAATTAACATATTTCCATTCTTAACGGACGACTCCTTGTCCTCCTCCAGGGAGGTCCGGGGCCGGCTAATGAACTGCGGGTAGACCAGGTCCTCCCAGGGGACACGGAATACATCTCCATGGGCAGAGAGGAGGCAGCGCTCTAGCCTGGGCGCTCCTCGCTGCTCCCTCTCCCTGTTGACAGAGTCCAGCCAGGCCATGCTGAAGAGGGACCGCAGGGCTATCTCCGACACCTCTTGCTGCTCCACATGACGGCTGCCGGCTGACACGCTGCACAGGAGCAGACGGGGGAGGGAGGGAACAGCTTTCCTGCAGGAGGTGCTGCGGGCTCGTGGAGGAGGAGCAGCAGCAGCAGCAGCAGGAGGAGATACCAGCAGGTAGAAGTCTCCTGGACGGAGGAGGCGCTGGTCCAGAGGACAGAGCTGAACCACTACCTTCTCGTGGACACACAGGGGCCAGCCTTCGTGAAGAAACAACAAACCACAGTACTGCAACTGAGGAGGAGACGAGGAGAAGAGACAAGGAAAAGGACAGATTAAAAAAAGGTCAAATAAAAAAAGAACATATAACAATAAGAACAACCAGGGACTCCATTACTCTGAGCTGATTCCACTGTCTTACATTGTTTTGTACAACCCTCTTACCAACTTGATATGTGAATGACATTGGAGCAATGTCTGTAGTATGGTGTAATCAATATGTTTTAAAACAAGGAATCAGGGAGTTCAGGCCTTTCCGTGGTCACAGCTGTATCCAGTTAATCTAATCCAATCACCATGGCAGCATCAAAACAAACAGCATTACGCCTCCATCAAAACGGAACATTTAGTTAATGATCACATCAACAGGCTAAACACTCACACAGATCTCAGTCTGAACACTGTGGCCTCAGTGTGCGAGGCGACGCCCAGCAGCGGCCGCCAGGTGAGTGACGATCCCAAAGAGTCACCTTAACCAAACATGACACATCAGCCAACCATGCACGGTGTTCAGCAGGCAAGAACAGACACAACCAGAGAGAGTGAGAGAGAGTCCTGACTCATGTCCAGTTATAATCTCCTGAGTCAGAGTGTCTTTGTTCTTGTGTCCTCAGAATCATCCATCTGACTGCTGATGTATGACTCCAAAACAGCCCCTCAAAGCAGGAAACTCTAAAGACTGGACAGTAGGCCCTAAAGACTGGACAACAGGCCCTAAAGACTGGACAATAGGCCCTAAAGACT